GGACCCCGGGATCATGACCTGAGTCGAAGGCAGACGCTTAACGACTGAGCCACTCAGGAGCCCCCCCAAAAAAGAAGTTTTTAAGAAATTGTCTCCAAACATTCAAACAGTGCTTGAAATATTAATGCCTAAACTTTTGATTAAATCACAAGTTTAATGTTAGATTTTCTTAAATTCTTTCAAAGTGAGCAATATTTACACACGAATATTCCAGAATTGATGTGCTCTCGTGCATCTCGAGGATTTACATTCTAAGGACAGTTATGGCTGAGATAGGTGCATATATAAGGAGGGAGGAAGGGAGGAAGGCAGGCAGAAAGAATGAACGAACTTGACACAATTAATTCCATATTTCCTTAAAACAGTGGGTAACATGCACTGGGTAACATTATTGTACCACCTATGTATGAAGATTAAGGACCCTGAAAAACCAGAAACCGTCACCGTGGAGCAACAAAGGGAAACTCTTATTCTCTGCCAGCGGTCGTCCGAGTGCATTGAGATGCACTGCCTTTCTTTTGGCTTTTATGTGTGACAGACACTCAGGTTGTCCCAGGGAAAAAGGACGAAGGAGTCGATACCGTGATGTGCCAGCAACACCTAGACGACCCAAGACAAGCCAATCTGGGAAAGTACATTGTGCGCGGTCCGGTTTAGCAAGGAAAACAGGTGGTTTAGGGACGTCTCAGAGAACAATTCAGACTCAAGAGAACTTGAAGCTGGGGGCTTGCACCTCTTGGTGTAGGGGCTGCAAAACTGACGTCAACCCTTCACAGGCCACAAAGAGGCCAAACCCGAGCACAGGCCTCCAGAGGTGGAGCTGGGGTCGGCATTCCCGGGCTCGCTCCCAAAGCGACACCCGTCTGAGCCCGCCCCTCCCGCTGGGCTTTGTCCTTAAAGCCCCAGGCTAGGGTCGCCTCCAGGGACGTCAGCGGTTTCCGCTTCTGCGAGCCCAGCGTTGAGCCTCGGGGCCGCTTGGGTGCAGGCCGGGGTCCCAGGGCCCCGAGCGCAGGACGCCCAGCCAGGCGACTCCCCACCTCAGGCGCACCGGCCCACGAAAGCGCGGGCGCGCCCGCGGGACTCCGTTCCCCAGCGCGCTGCGCGGAGCCGCCTGGCCGTTGCCAAGGATGTCGGAAAGGGCTCCGCCCACCCGGCCGCAGAGCGGGCGGGAACTACGCTTCCCAGAAGGCGCCGCGCGTGCGTCCGCGGCGCGCATTGGGCCAATGAGGGCTTGCGGGGGCTGGACTTCCGGCGTCCGGGACTGTCACTTTGCTGCGGGGCGTGGGGCCACACCGGTGTTGGGGACTGGAGCGCGGCGGGTCCGAGTCGGCCTTCCAGGAGCCTTGGAGACCCGAGGCGGGGGCCGCGACGAGGGCACGAGCGGAGGGCCGCTAGGCGCACGCCGTGGTCGCGAGCGACGGTCGCGCCCCCCGAGCCTCGGTTTCTCCGGGTGTAGCCTGGGCCGCCCTGCGGGCTGTGGGGCGGTGCCCCGCGTCACGTGCTCTCCGACCCCCGGGCGGCAGGGGAGACGGTGTCCTGGGCGTCTGTGCCCTAGTCGGACGGAGAGACTGAGGCCCGGAGCCGGGACGTCCGCGTATCCGTCGCTTTCTGCGCGTCCCCAAGTACAGGTTCTGATGGCGACCGCGGCGCTGACGGACCCGGCGCAGGTGAGAGAGGAAGCTTAAGACCCCCTCCCCCGCCAGCCACCTAGATCCCTCCGGGAGGGACCCGAATCTCGGCTCAGGGAGGGACTTTACCCGGACGTCTTGTCTCCCCTCTCGGTTCGTCCTAGGCCCCGGGGTTCACGCCAGTGGAGCGTGCACGTGTGAGATCCCCGCTTCGGGCAGCCAAGGGAGTGAGCTGTAGAAGGAAGTTCCAAGCGGAGGGTCCCGCACGTGCAAAAGCTGGGAGGGGAGACGGAGCCTAGGTGCTTCGGGAACCGAGCTTCCGGACGTGAGCACGGGAGAGAAATGGCAGGCTGAGGAGTTGTGTCGGGAGCCGTGGGAGGATTCGAACAGAGACTGGACGTGCTTTAAGTTAGGGTTTTTAAAAGTATCCCACGGTTTGCTTGGCGGAGAAATGACGCAGAGCGGGGGTGGCCGTGTGCAGGGGCCGGGCGCTGTCACAGCCCGGGTGGCCGAAGACGGCACCTGCGGCACACTGGGACTGGGCCAGTGGAGATGGGGAAAGTGGTTGGATTCTGGAGAGATCTGATGTCTCAGGTGCGGCGTGGGAGCGAGTGGCCCGAGTGGAGCACAGTCCCAAGGTTTTTGGCCTGAGCACCCAGAAGAACAGAACTGCTGAATTTGAAGGGAAAGCAGGCTTCAGAGTAAGATCAGGGAATCTGTGCTGTCCCGGAGTGGAGGTATCACGTGGACCTGGAATTGCAGATGTCCAAGGACACAGTCCTGATACTCTGAGCCAGCGGGGCCTGGGAATCACATTTAGGAGGAAGGAATCTTATGGACTCAGCCAGGGATGGGTAGCACTCCAGGGATGTGAAGACAGGCTGGTAGCCCCTGGGGCTCTGGGAGTAAGTCAGGTGGCCTAAGGGAAGGTTTTGGCCAGGGAAATGGGGGGAGGGGTGGGCGTGGTTATGGAGGGAGGAGGAAATTGGCTTCCTGTGTGCTCACCAGATCCTTGGGCCCCCTCCTGTAGTGATGGAGGGGATCAGCCAGCCAGTCCTTCATGCTGGAGGGGCAGCCTTGGGATGTCAGGCAAGTTCAGCAGAAGGGGGCGTCCCTCCAGGCCTGGGCAGGTCCTGGCGGGTCCACAGCTGGGACTTGTACAACTGCTCATTACAGGAACAGTTAAGGGCACGTCTGGGGAGGGTCAGTTTGTGCAGAACGTGTGGGCACCTGGGCCTGCCCTTGGGGTGGCGGCCATCTGAAGGCCATGAGCTTGCTCTGGCTGCCTTGTGTGAGTGGCCAGTGGGGAGCCCAAGGAGGCATCTGTGCCCTGGACAGGTAGGGTGTAGGGGAGAGGAGGGAAGTTTCCTCTGCAGAGTTGCAGAGCCTGGGGGAGGACGGGGTGAGGGGGAGGAAGGTAAGCCTCTGAGGGACATGGAGAAGGGTAGCCTTTGGGACAGGGAGGGGGGTCCTGGGTGGTAGAGCCATAGCTTAGATCGTGTCCATCTTCCCCTGCCCACTGTTGTAGGGCCTGATGGCCTTCGAGGATGTGGCCGTGTACTTCTCCCACGAGGAGTGGGAGCTCCTGGACACAGCCCAGAGGGCCTTGTACTGCCACGTGATGCTGGAGAACTTCGCACTTGTGGCCTCGCTGGGTAAGGCCCTGGGTTTTCCACGGGAAGCTCAGCTGTTGCCAGCACTAACCCCGTATCTCCTGTTGGCCTATGAGCAGCCTCACACCAGCTGGCTGGTGTCCCTGTGCCGCTGTGGTGCCTCGGTGTTCAGCCTGGGCCCCTTTCATCTGCTGCTGCCAACACGGTTCTCCTCACAGGGATTCTCCTCACAGGGGCCATTGCACTTTTCCTGTGAGTCCTGCCCTGTGGTGTGCTGGGCCTGGCCCCTCACTTGCTTGTCTTTTCTCACAGGACTCTCTGCCTCACGACCCCGGGTAGTCGTCCAGCTTGAGCGTGGAGAGGAGCCCTGGGTTCTCGGTGGGACAGCTGCAACACCAGCCAGGACTGCTCACAGGAAGCCCAGCCCTGGTGAGCGGGGACTCAGAGGGTGTGAGCTTGGGCCCACCAGTGGCCAGGCTTCTGTCCCCCGTTCCCTGCCTTCCTGGACTCTGTCATCTCCTGCCTCCCACCTGACTCCTTCCCGTTCTCCTTCTATCATCAGCGCCTCCTGGAGGCTCTGGCCTTGGCTTGCCCACCAAGGGGGAGCTCCCGTGGGACCCCATTCCAGGCACCGGGGCACAGCCTTTACCAGGACGCTCCTGGTCCTGCTTTCATGGAGGTGACCATGCTAGGGGAGAGGCAGCAGGGAAACAGAGTTCGTGAGTAAAGCCTGTAGCGGCAGGTAGCCATCCGTGCAAGGAGCAAAAGCAGGCTGGAGGAGTCCCCCGAGACAGAAGTGAATGACATACACTGGTCTGGCTGCTGCTTTTCTCCCCAGCTCGCACACCCAGTCCTTGGCATCCCCTTTGTCTGACCACTAGGCCTGCCCCGGCCATCCCCTCTCGGCCAGCATGACCCAGGGTCTACCATTTCTGTGCCTTCAGGTTCCCGTCATCTGGCATACGACAGGGTTGTTCCAGGAGAAGCAGAACTGCCAGGGGCCTTCCATGATGGCTCCCCTCCAGCACCTCCGAGGATCCTCCCCTTCGCTGGCATCTGTGAGCGTGGGAAAAGCCTGGACGGCTGGTGGGGCACCTCCCCCTCTCAGGAGAAAAAACCCACAGGGGTGTCTGTAATCTACTGGGAACGGCTCCTGCTAGGTCCTGGCAGTGGGGAGGCCAGTGTCAGTCTGCGGCTGACCTCCCCACTGAGGATGGCCGAGGACAACCCACCTAGGGAGAAGGCCTTTGTGACCCGCCCCATGCCAGGCAAGCAGCTAAGGGCATGTGGGGGCCAGAAGCCATATGGGCGGGAGGCACCTGGAAGCGCTTTCCCCAAAATTCCAGAATTTGAGTCTGGTCTCACCTCCGGGGAAGGAGGAAAGAGTCCAGCTAGCCACAAGCCTCATGGACTCCCCGCTGGCCAGGAGCCCCCAGCCTGGGATCAGCTGGGCAAGGCCCTCCACACAGGCCCTGGCCTCCTTCCCGGGGAGAAGCCCTTCGAATGCAGGGCGTGCAACAAAGTGTTCGTGAAGAGCTCGGACCTGCTCAAGCACCTGCGCACGCACACCGGAGAGCGGCCGTATGAATGCGCGCAGTGCGGCAAGGCCTTCAGCCAGACGTCGCACCTGACGCAGCACCAGCGCATCCACAGTGGTGAGACGCCCTACGCGTGCCCGGCCTGTGGCAAGGCCTTCCGCCATAGCTCCTCGCTGGTGAGGCACCAGCGCATACACACAGCCGAGAAGTCCTTCCGCTGCAGTGAGTGTGGCAAGGCCTTCAGCCACGGCTCCAACCTCAGCCAGCACCGCAAGATCCACGCAGGCGGGCGGCCCTATGCGTGTGCCCAGTGTGGCCGCCGTTTCTGCCGCAACTCACACCTCATTCAGCATGAGCGCACCCACACGGGTGAGAAGCCTTATACTTGTGCCCTTTGCGGTGCCGCCTTCAGCCAGGGTTCCTCACTCTTCAAGCACCAGCGTGTGCACACAGGCGAGAAGCCGTTCGCCTGCGCACAGTGTGGCCGCGCCTTCAGCCACAGCTCTAACCTCACGCAGCATCAGCTGCTGCACACGGGCGAGCGGCCCTTCCGCTGCGGGGACTGCGGGAAGGCTTTTGCCAAGGGCGCGGTGTTGCTCAGCCACCGACGCATCCACACCGGTGAGAAGCCCTTTGTGTGCGCACATTGTGGCCGCGCCTTCCGCGAGCGCCCGGCCCTCTTCCACCACCAGAGGATCCACACGGGAGAGAAACCTGTGCGCAGACCCCGGCGTGGGGCAGGCCTGACCCCCCAGGCCAGGCCTTCTTCGGTGGTGTCATCAGAGGGCTCACTGGGGAGGGAAGCGGGGTCCACTCCTGCCTCAGGTCCAGCCACAGTTTCGAAGCCTGCTGAAGCCTGAGTTCACAGCTCCAACCTTCCCTGGCTTGTCGTAAAACACCTGCGTTCCCTGCATATCCACGTTTTGGAGAAGACCGGTGTGTGCACTGTGGTTCCATGTGCACGTGGTGACGATATTTGCCATTTCAGCCACGGCTCACTCCAACCCTAAGTGGTCAGGCTGCAGAAATAGCAGGGGGATATTCTCCCCATTTGGATGCTGGGACTTTGGCAAGGCAGAGACTTGGCAATAGACTGGCGTTTCATGCCTATGATGACTGTGGGTGCCCAGGTGAGGAGGGGGACTGCTGGAATGCGGGGGAGGCAGTCCTAGAAGTTTCCCCTGTCCATGCACAAACTGGCCGCCAGGCCGACCCTCAGGATATTCTTCCAAGACCTCACTTCCTCCAAGGCCTCCTGGGAGCGGACCCAGTGGGTAGGAGGTCATGTGGGGGTCTGGTGTTGACCTTGGGCTCTGTCTTAGCATCCACCTCTGGGGAAAAGAACAGACGAGAGAGGGAGAGAGATTCAGGCCTACAGAGGGATTCTGACAGGCAGGATCTTGCTAAGGGCCAACATGTGCCAGTTGCCAGCCCTGTGAGGCAGCCGCTGTGACTGCTATCCCCACTTCTCAGATGAGGAAACGGAGGCAGAGAGAGGGGATGTGAGTTGTACACAGCAGAGCCAGGACTCGAATCCAGGCCACAGGCCCAGCATCCAGACAGCTCACCAGTCTGCCCCCAGGCTCTGGCAGCTGTGCTCGGGTCTGCCAGTGTGAGAGCTGGGTGATGCCAGGCCTGGCCGCCCGCACATGGCAGTCCCACAGTGGGTGGGCCAAGTAGAGGTGGAGGTCCCTGGGGTGGGGAGAGGGAGACAGACATCAAGAATGATGGCTCTTGAGCCGTGCTCTTTCATTCGGTTTCGCATCCAAGCCTCAGCATTGGCCACGTCCCGTTGTTACCAAAGGTACCGCTGCAGGAGCCTTTATATCCCCCCTGCCCTGACGAGAGGTGATCATAACAACAGGTTTGGAGGAGACCGCATGGGGCTCCTTGGTTCTCCCTGTGGCCCTCAGCAGACCAGGGCCCATCCTGACCTCAGTCCTCACACCCAGGGATGTTAGTGGTCTCTTTACTTGGGAACAAAAAAGAAAGAGCAAAAATTAGAAGTTGGAATGGATGCACATTGTGTAAATCCTTGCACAGCACTGGGAAGTCCACAGCCTCAGCCTCCCCTTCCAGCCTCCAGGTCATGGTTCAGAAGGGTTTAATGGCACAGTCCAGAGAGGCTTCCTGATAAAAACTTGTCAAACATGTGCATGGTAACAGTCTGATGCCTGTTTCATCTTAGCACACTGCAGACATGCCATCAGTGTGTGTTGTCACAGAGCTGCAGGGACTTGGCTTTGACCCATGTCTCTTTGAGGCCAGAGGATAGATATGTAGCTTGTCTGAGGCCCACTGACTTTCTGTGATAACTGTTATCTCCTTGGCAGCCAGAGGTGTGCGGTTAGCCCAGGAGATCTAGGCAGGGTGGATTGCATGGGGTGGCCCCAATTAGGACTTAGCTATCTGGATATGAATCTTTGTGCATCCAGGCCAGGGATTCTAGGCAGGGGTCACCAATAGTGGCCAGAAAGACTGACTCCAGTTTGATGGGTCTTCTAGTCCACCCAAGATTTGGCAGCTATGTGTCATGTACTATGCCCACAGATCTATCGCCCTCCCATTTTCACTCCCTTCCTCCCAGCAGTGCCAGAGTTCTTTTATTCTGGAATCTCACTAATCCTGCAAGGAGAGGAGTCTTGCTGAACCCACTCCCAAAGACCCTTAGATGCAGGTCCTCAGTGCCAGGTCTTCTGGTCCCCTACAGGTCTCCAAGCCACTGTTCACCCCTCCTGGACTCATCCTTTCTCCTCTGCTCTGGTACACACTCTGGCCTCACCCCCATCTTACCTTCCCTTAGAATGGCATCATGAGGGTGCCATTCTCAGTCTACACAGCTGTGAAATGCAGACAAACCTGCACTCTGATAGCTCTTGGGAGCCCATGGGATTCAGGAGCAAAGGCAACTGTCAAACAGCAAGTGGGTACTCAAGTCATACACAACCTTTTCTGCATCTTGGACTGAAGCTCCTGGAGCTCTCATGACCCCTTGACCTGGGTCTGATGTCCTATGCCATCTCCCCACTTCATTGAGCTCTTTCTCACCTGTGTGCTTGGCCCCTGCTATGCCTCACTTCCTCTACCCTTCTCAAACCCACCCCTCCCAGTACCTAGGATTGGTCAGTGGCCCACACTCTGGTCTTATGGGAACAGTAACCATAATTACCTGCTTTCCCCTCTCTTGGGCCTTACATTGCCCTCCCCTAAACTTCTGTGGTCATGTTGAGCCTTGTCCTGTCAGGCTAGTCCTTCTCTTGATCCTGAACAGGCTGAGTGTAAAAGTGCCCTTGAGCTCTTTGGGGCAAGATGGTGGTGTGAACACATGCATTTCATTTGGTTCAAAAACCCACTGAAGCTACAGAGATGAAAGTGTTTAAAAATATGAACCCACAAGAATGAGGATGGTGAAACGGGTCCACAGCAATGGCATTCTGGAACTGGAAGCAGATGCAGATGTGGGATCTATCTCTGATTTAGAGAAAGCCAAATACTGATTTGGCACTGGGGGAAGTGGACTGAGGTCCCAACAGGCTTATACTGCAGAACTCCAGAAGGCATGCAAACCAGCAGCCCCCTGGGAGAGGAGACTTAAAACAAAGATGACTTGGGGAGAGCTACCAAAGCTATTAGAGCACCAGCTCTCCCCATAGAGTGGATGGTGAAGAGTCATTTCTGGGGAATCCATACAGTTCCAGAGAAACGATCTAAGTCCTCCCCCCTCCCACACGCACACACACAAAACAGCTCAGTCTGATGACATATAGAAGAGTTGACAGGCCCCAGCCATGCAGATGCTCAGAGCTTCCAATCAGTGTGTAAGACCACTGCTCTTCATTGAGTGCTGGCAGCTAGGTATTAGCAGGTATCACAAGAAATCAAAACAGGCGTATGCAATTTAGGATTGAATGAGCCATGGTTCAGCTACTTGATTTCTGGAAGCGAAGCACCCCTTCCCACAGTGTGATTCTTGCCTACTGAGATAAACTGAAGATAACTGTTACTAGTTGTGGTACCCAGTGTAAAACGTTAGCAGCGTCCCATAAGCTGGACAAAAACCTTCATCCCTCACTTCGCAGTACTGACGTCTGAAAACATGTCTGAGACTCTGAGGATATAAATCATGGGACAGTTTCCTCCTGTGTAAATGAGTGCCCACCCTGGTCCTTGTTCTCGATGTCCTCAGGGCGCTCAGCAGAGGTCGAACGAAGGACCCCAGCACCGTCCTCGCTGGAATCCTTCCCGGGGTTGGCGGAGAAAGTCCACAGATTAGGCCGGACTTCCGGGTCCGGACCCTGCTTCCTCCTGGGACCACCTGGAGGCGAGTCTCCGCCGAACTACACTACACAGGCCGTCACTTCCGGCCTCCCAGGAGGACCGGGCGACGCTCTGGCCGTTTCCTTGGAAACAGAGGGAGGCGGGCGGATGTCCTCTAGCGGTTACCAAGGGGACTGCTCAGCGCCTAGAACGAAGCCTCAAGAGGAGCGCTGGGGAGGGGCCTAGGTGGGGTGCTGGCTCTGAATGGCCGTAAGGTCACGCTCCTCCCCCCTCACCTCACTTGCCAATAGGCGCCGGGTCCACTGTGCACATGCGCAGGATTCTAACATACCGTCCATCACGGCCGTTGGTGAGTCTAGGGTCGGATGCAAAGGAAGAGCGGTCGCCGGTGCGGGGAGGGAGCCCCCAAACTCTGCGACTCTTCAGATTTCCCTAAGAGGACCGGAGCTCTTCTCAGTCGTGAGAGGCCTTTGGAAATGAGCGTCCACTGGCGGAGGCCGCGCCCGTCCTTGCGTGCTGAGTCTCACGGGAAACGTAGTCCGAAGGGAGGGGGCGGGTCCTGCCCAGCAGGCGCGTGATTGGCCAGGGCGCAGTCGCCATGGCAACGCGGGGAGGGGCGGGGAGGGGCGGGGAGGCGGGGCCCCTTACCCGGAGGGGCTTCCTGGCGCCCGCGCCGCGGCGGAGGTGAGCGCGGGCTCGGCTGGGCGGGGCGCGCGGCTTTTTCCTTCCCCGGGAATCCGGCCGCTCGGTGCTCCCGCACTCCGGAGTGTCCGCCTACCTCCCGACGTGCCCTGCGCGCTCCACCTCCTAACCTCAGCCCGGCCATTCCTCCCACCCAGCGCGGCGTTCCCTGTCCTCTGGCGAGAGCTGTTCTTGCCCCTCCCTTTTGGGAGACGGACTCCGGGGGCTCAGGCCGGTTCTAGCTGGTCTGACGGGCCCCCCAGGTGGCCTTGTTTCATTCCAGACCCTCTTGACGGTCGGGCCACGGTGTCCGCAACTCGTAGCTTTGTTTTGTTTTGTTTTGCTTTTCACATGCTTGGTTCGGGCGGTGTGAGTCAGTCACAGTTCGCTGTGGTCGGCGAGCGCGTCCACAGTCCCTGCCTCGACCCATGGCACAGACGTGCCTCATACTTCTAGCCGGCCCCCCGGGTGCCCACTTGAGTCAACATGTCCCGCTGTCCTGGCGATCATGGGGACGCGCACCCCACCATGGCCCAGCATGGCCCCGTATCCTACTGCTGCCTCTTCCCACCTTCACTGCCCCCGCTCACCAGGGGTGATGGCCTCACCCAGTCCCTGGCTGCCTGTCCCTCGGCCTCCTGCCTGTCACTTTCCTTGGCTCATGAGTCAGACCCTGGAAGCCTGCGATGACTCCTTTTGCTTACCTCTTCATCACCCCCTGCAGTTTCCTGGAAGCTCCATTGGACAACTTGCCTCCAAAGCATTCATCCGCAAGGCTTCCTTCGGCCTTCAGTTCTTGTCAGCGGCCCTCTCCTGTGACCCCTCCAGGAAGCGTTCCCAGCCTCATGCATCCCTGGGCCAGGGTCCTCCCTCAACCAGCCTCAGCCCCCCGGGCTGGGCCTGTCTGCTCTACCCTGGCCATGGCTTCTTAGCCCGCACCCTGACCCTTCCTTTCCTGCAGGTCCCTCTTGTTGGCTACAAGAAGACACCCAGTACAACAATGCCATCCCCACTGGGCCCCCCACGCCTGCCCTCTGTGGACCCCATGGCTATCCTGGAGGAGCCTGAGGCAGCACGCCTGCGCTTCAGGGGATTCTGCTACCAGGAGGTGGCGGGTCCCCGAGAGGCCCTGGCCCGGCTCCGGGAGCTGTGTCGCCAGTGGCTGCGGCCCGAGGCGCACTCCAAGGAGCAGATGCTGGAGCTGCTGGTGCTGGAGCAGTTCCTGGGCACGCTGCCTCCGGAGATCCAGGCCTGGGTGCGGGGCCAGCGGCCAGGCAGCCCTGAGGAGGCTGTAGCCCTGGTCGAGGGCCTGCAGCATGACCCTGGGCAGCTGCTGGGCTGGGTGAGTGTGGCCAGTGTTGACTTCTTGAAGGGTCAGGAGCCAAACTAGAGCCCCTGTGACTTTCCTCTTCCCTTCAGATCACAGCCCATATCCTGAAGCAAGTGGTGCTCCCGGCAGCACAGAAGACAGAGGAGTCCTTGGGGAGCTCCCACCCTTCAGGGACAGTGGAGCTCCTCAGGGCGACCTCTGGGGAGGCCTCACAGGACACCCACATGGAGAAGTCTGCCCAGCTTAGCTGCAGTGTGAAGGAGGAGCCAGATGCTGATGGGCAGGAGATGGGTGAGAGTGGGAGCCACACAAGGTCTGGGGGGCTCCCGGAGGGAATGTGAATGTCCCCAGATGGGATGGGGACTCAGGAAGGATTGCAGACTGCAGAGCTGGGTCCCCAGGAGGCAGGAGGAAAGGAGTGGTGGGCTGCCTGCCGTGTGCCTGGCACACACAGTAGCCTCCTGCCTCCTGGCAGAGGAAGGCCAGGGCTGCGGCACCAACACCAGCTCACCTGCCATGGCTCACAGGAGCGGCCCCTGACCCTCATCTGCCTCATTTCCTAGCACCTTCCAACCCCCCAAATCCAGCCCAGTCCCGCGAGGGGCACCCTGGACACCGGGAACCAGCCTCCACATCCTTCCACCCACCCAGGATTCAGGTAAGCAGCCCCAGGAGAGAGGTGCAGGCACACAGTAAGAGGAGTGTGTCCTTGGTGGCCACTCTGCTCTGTTAGTTTTTCAGGCTTCTTGGCTAGCAGCTCTTGTGCTCTTTGCTGCCTAGAAATGGAGTTGGTATCAGGGTCCCTCCTGCAGGTCCTGCAGGACAGGGACAGGCTGGTGGTCTCTCTAAAATTGGGGAAAATTTGGGCCTCAGGCCATGGGATCTGGTTTGGAGTGACTGGAACTGGTAGGCTTCCTCATTTACAGAGAAATTGGGGATTTTGAAGCACCCAGCAGTCTTAAACTGGTACTTGGGGATTTGAACCCTCATGTGCACGTGGGGAGGGGTCAAGATGATGAACCTTGGCAAGAAAGCCTGAGCACCACACAACAGTCTGGCCTCCCTAGCCCACCAGAGATCAGAATGGAGATAGCTAGACCATAGCTTGCAGCCTCCTCTTTCCTGGGGCTTTCCTCAAAGGCCAACCAGCCCTGGATTGTGGCCAGCGAGGCATGGAAGCTCCACTGAGGCCCCTGCTACCTGGAGTGCTCGGTTCCTGAGTGTGGACAGCAGGGCTCCTATCCTCTCCCAGCAGTTTTTCTCCTAAGCCACTCCACTGGGGAGCGTTCCCGGTGGAAGAGCTGGTTGAGATGTGCTTGGAGGCTAAAACTTCCTCCGGGCTCTCTCCACAGTCTGATGGCACAGTGGGAAACAGCTGGGTGGGCAGGCCACACCCTCCAAGGCCTCCTGATCTCCAGCCAACAGCATTCCAGCTGTGGCTTCATGTGGCTGTCTCCTCCCTGTGCCTGGACCTCCAGTGGTTTGTCTGTCAGGATTATTTTTCCCACCCCAGCAAAGCCCCAGATGATGGGATTTTGGGAGGCAAGGAGAGCAGAAGCCAGGGACAGGGAGTGCATCCCCTGGTAAAGTCCACAAGGGTCCTGCTTCGACCACCAGAGCTCACCCTCTGGCAACAGGCAGGAGCCAGCCCACCGCCCCACTCACACACATCTGAACTCTGGGATGCTTGGCTGCACCTCCTAATGTGAGTCCTCCTACCCTCAACCTCCCCACAGCCAGGTCCCCACATCTAGGAATGCTGACGGCCTTCAGCAGCTCCCCCAAGGAGGATCTCTGTTACTTTTATAACCAGAGGCTTGGGGAGAGGTGGCTGGATCCCCTTGGGTCCCCAGGCCTTTTGCTGTCAATGCAGCACACTGTTCAAGGCAAGGAGGTGGGGACAGTCGTATCGGGCCCCCACCTAGGCTTCCCGCAGAACCCATCAGGGGGTTCTCAGCTCCAGTCTGTCTGGCTAGACTATGGAGTGGGGCTTCTGAGGGCGACAGGTGCTAACAGTATCCCCCCAGTGAGCTTGAAGACAGCTCCTCTCTGCTCTGTTTCCCAACTTTCACACACCCTTCTCATCTTCATCCTTGTCGAGCAAAAGAGCCTTAGGTAACCTGCCTGCTCCCTCAAGTAATTAGTAAAGTTGTGACTAGGGGACATGGGCAGGGTAGGGCACTGCAGGGCGGGGCGGAGAATGGGGGGTGGACAGGCACCAAGGGTGATGGGCCATATCCCCACAGGAGGAATGGGGGCTACTGGACCCGTCACAGAAGGAACTGTACTGGGACGCAATGCTGGAGAAGTATGGCACGGTGGTCTCCCTGGGTGAGGACCAGCCATGACCCCTCCTTTGGTGTCTGCATACCACTGGCTGTAGGGCTCACTGCCCGGCCCTTCCCTGTGCACATCTCCCAGTGCTCACCTGAGGTCCCGCTCGTTACCTGGGGGCACCGTGTCACCCACCGGGGCCCCCACCCTGCCCCTAGTATGTAAGAGCCCCTCACCCACCCCCATGCCAGGACTGCTCCCTGACTGTCCCTCACCCCAGCAGGGATACCAGCCCCCCCGCCGGAGGCAGGGGCTGAGTCGGGGCCAGGGGCCATGCGTACAGGGATAGAGGGTCGAAGAAGCCTCCACCCAGGTGAGTGCTCCTCCATGCGACCTGAACCACCTGTTCTCTGGTGGGGTGGGAGCTTGTCTGCCCCCACACACCTGGCGGGAGAGGGTGGGCCAATGTGAAGGGCACTGGGCTACCTGGGACTGCCGCCTCTCCTTCCCCCAGGAGATGAGAGTGAGAGCCACTGCGAGGGTCCGCCCCACTGCCCAGAGGCCCAGCCACCCCGGGGCCCGGGGTCTGTCACCTGGGAGGGCCCGTCTGGGGCCTCTGTGTCTGCCAGGGCAATGCTGGGAGCAGAGCTGGAGCCTGGTGCCCCGCGGAGGAAGCCTTACACCTGTGAGCTGTGTGGCCGAGGCTTTGACTGGAAATCAGTCTTTGTCATCCACCACCGGATGCACGCAGATGGGCAGGGTACACGGGCCCCGGTACTGGCCATCGGGGGTGCTCAGAAGCTGCCACAGGGTTCCCGGGAGCCAGGCACACCCCGGCACCCCCGGCGCGTGCTCCCAGGGCCCCGGAGCTATGCATGTGAGGAGTGCGGGCGCAGCTTCAGCTGGAAGTCGCAGCTGGTCATCCACCGCAAGAGCCACGCGGGTCAGCGGCGCCACTTCTGTGGAGACTGCGGCCGTGGCTTCGACTGGAAGTCCCAGCTGGTCATCCACAGGAAGAGCCACCGGCCCGAAGCCCCATGAGTGGCTCGAGAAGGCGGCCTTATCTTGGGGGCCTTGGAGCCTCCAGGGCCTGGACACAGTTCCCGGGGCTCTGGTTCCAGCCTTCCCGGGGCTGCTCAGCCTCTGTCTGTGAATCAGAGTTCCCAGGAGGGTCCCCTGCCCCATTTCAGTCTCCCCAAAACAGCCACCTGGGTGTAAGTAAAAGAAGCTGCCTGGTGGGGCCTGGCTTGGAACCCACTGCCTTAGCCTGGTGACTTCCAAGCTCTGAGATCCCCAGCTGTGACCTGATGCAGGCTGACAGTCTAAGGACTCTCCCTACTCCTGGGACCTTAGTGGCCCCAGGTGGATGCTCAGAAACTGCCCCTTTCCACCCTTCCTGAAGCTTCTGGGCCTGATGTCTTGGTGTGGAAGGTGCTGAAAGCTCAGGAGAGCATGCTTTGCTTCTGTTTGCAGGCAGATGGAAAACTAATGACCCTTCACATTTGAGATTTTTTAAAAATCCCACTTTTATAATGGGAAGTTTCTGCATAAGAATTCTGATCTCTGCTTTCTGCTGGTCAGAATATCAGAAGTGCCACTCCTGCCTGGCGGCTGGACCCACAAGAAGGGCCAGCAGTCCTGGCCACCTGGCCTCCTTTGTTCCTCGGCCACCATGTCTTTCCTTGGTCTCTTTGGCCTTTGAGCTCTTGAGTCCCAGCTTGAGTGGACACTAAGGGGACTTCTTTGCAAGTATGGATGAACAAGGAGGGTGGCCTCTGAGGAAGGGCCCACAAACGGATGTCACTGGGGCCATGTGATTTAAAAGTAGTCTGTGATCACTTAGACAAATTTGAAATATACAAGAGAGCAAAGGTAAGGGAAATGACCCCGAGTTCCACTGTCTCATGCCAGTGACTATTCCAGGAGTCACACGTAGGGGCATTTTATAAATCATCTTGTGGAGTTACTGTATATATCATGCTCTTCTCACCCATTTCCCTGTTACTAAAAATGTATTTTAATGCCTGGGTAAAAATTCCATTTTCTGTCCAGCAGCAGCATTTCCTACCAAGCCCAGATAGTTCATTGTTCACCCCCGTGGTACCCAGTGCATCACCAGTGATGCACACTCCCAGGCATACACTTGGGGTGGGACTCTGCCTATTTCCCTTAGACTCAGTCTCCCAAAGTAGGATTATTGCATCTAGAGAGCATGGGACTTTTGTTTTCTTTTTGCCTTAAAACAACACTGGATTCCTTGAGCCAATTCCAAGTCTCCCCCTCCCCCCACAACACCAAGCAGTTCTCCAACAGAAAATATTTTTTAGGGACGCCTGGGTGGCTCAGCCGGTTAAGCGTCTGCCTTCAGCTCAGGTCACGATCCCAGGGTCCTGGGATCAAGCCCCACATCGGGCTCCACGCTCAGTGGGGAGTCTGCTTCTCCCTCTCCCTCTGCCTCTCTCCCTGCTCATGCTCTCTCTCTCTCCCTCTCTCTTTCTCTGTCTCAAATAAAATAAATAAATAAAATCTTTAAAAAAAAAAAAGTTGAAGCATGAGAAAGATTTGATGCACCACTGCAGGCTTTGAAGATAGAGGGAGTCACACTGTGGCCTCTGGAAGGTAAGAACAACCCCTGGCTAACAGCCAGCAAAGAAACCGGAGACCTCAGTCCTACAACCACAAAGTATTGCAATCTGCCAACAACTTGAATGGGCTTGGAAGCAGATAATTCCCAGGTCTTCCAGATAAGAGCCTAGCCCAGCCAACGTTTTGATTTCAGCTTTGTGATACTCTGAGCAGACAACCCAGCCAATGTCTCCCGGATGTCTGACCTACAGAACGGTGAGCTAATAAATGGATGTTTTAATCCACTAAGTTTGTGGCAATTTGTTAAACAGCATAGAAAACTCAATACAACCATGTATTATTAATGGGTTTAGTACTGCTCATGGCCAAAAATATAAAACTGGCCTGCATCCAGTGATGAATTGGAGTGTGGAATAAAACGGTGATAGTGTTTTTCAATAAAATTTTTAAAAATAAGAAACGAGGGGCACCTGGGTGGCTCAGTCGTTAAGCATCTGCCTTCAGCTCAGGTCATGATCCCAGGTCCTGGGATTGAGCCCTGCATCGGGCTCCCTGCTCCCCAGGAAGCCTGCTTCTCCCTCTCCCACTCCCCCTGCTTGTGTTCCCTCTCTCGCCGTGTCTCTCTCTGTCAAATAAAATCTTAAAAAAAAAGAAAAGAAAAGAAATGAAGCAAATAATGACTTTGGAAAACCTTGGCAGTATCTACTACAGCTAAATCTATGTATACTCTTACCTGAGCAATTCCACTCCTGGGTATGCACCCAACAAAAATGAATGCTTGTTTCAGCTCAGGTCATGATCTCAGGGTTGTGAGATGGAGCCCCATGGTCGGGCTCCACGCTCCGCACAGAGTCGGCTTGTCCCTCTCCCTCTGCTCTTCCTCCTGCTCACTCGATCACTCTGTCTCTCGTTCAAATAAAATCTTAAAAAAAAAAAAAAGAATGCTTATGAGCGCCAAAAGACATGTACAGAAACATTTAGAGCAACTATTTATAAAAGCGAAAAAATCAGAAAACAGCCCAAGCCCACTGCAGTTATCAGTGTATTGCCTCTCTGCTCCATATCATTACCTGTCTGCATTAACGGGCTGGACCTTGTAGTCGGTTCTCCTTTGCAGTCAACATATTAAGCTTTGTCAGTAGAGGGCACTGGAGGGAAACTACAAGGTGCCTTCCTGTTTCTCTTCCACCTACTACCACAGCAGTGCTACATGTGGAAGACTGCCCAGAGTAGGCATTCTCGGCTAGCTCAAAGCCGTGGCCTGGCCTAGTAACCACCTCACCACGGTATCCTCCTGATGTGGATACCATGCACCCCAAGGTACCCTGCTAGCAAGCAGCTTCCCAATGTCTCTTCCAACAGATACAGCTGTAGGCCTTGTACCTGCGGCACATGAACTCCCTCCGTGTACCCCCTTAGCGCCTTGGCCCACCGCCACACCAAGGTGTTTCCTGCTTGGCTTGGGCAACCCAGAGAGTTTCTCTGCCACCCAGTATGCTGCAAACACCCATTCCCCAACAAAGTCTGAGCCCCAACCTTGAGGAGAGAGCTCCCACTTGAAAGTTTATTCTTACTTTGGGCAATCTCTCAGCCCTAGGATTTTAAGAGTTACTCCCCTATTATAGTTAATAACTTTTGTTTATTTTTAAGATTTTATTTGTCAGAGAGGGAGAGAGCAGAAGCAGCGGGAGCGGCAGGCAGAGGGAGAAGCAGGCTTCCCGCCGAGCAGGGAGCGCGATGTGGGACTCGATTCCAGGACCCTGGGATCACGACCTGAGCCGAAGGCAGCCGCTTAACCAACTGAGCCACCTGGGCACCCCTATAGTTAATAACTTTTTTTTTTTAAAGATTTTATTTATTTATTTGAGAGAGAGAATGAGAGACAGAGAGCACGAGAGGGAAGAGGGCAGAGGGAGAAGCAGACCCCCTGCCGAGCAGGGAGCCCGATGTGGGACTCGATCCCGGGACTCCAGGATCATGACCTGAGCCGAAGGGAGTCGCTTAACCAACTGAGCCACCCAGGCGCCCCTATAGTTAATAACTTTTTAAAAAAGATTTATTTCTAGGGGGTGCATTGCTGTCTCTGTCAAAAAAAAAAATCTTTAAAAAAATAAGAAAAAAAGATTTATTTCTAAATCTATCTACTGAGCACAGAGTCAAGATGGGGGGCTCCATCTCACAACCCCGAGACCATGACCTGAGCTAAAATCAAGAGTCAGATGCTCAACCGTCTGAGCCACCCAGGCGCCCCTATAGTTAATAACTCCTTATATCAAATTTACCCTGTTCAAATTACTGTGCGGCTTCTGCCTCCTGACTGGGTGCTTACTGATACACCCACCAATAGCAGTGTGGATAATTACGCTGGCTATGCATGCAGTGAAATACTCTGCACACAGCAATGACCAAGAACAAGTGATTGCTACCTGTGGTACTGTTGAATTTTAGGCACAGATGGAAGGGGGGGACAGAGCTTGGCCTCGCCCAGCAGTGTGGGGCTCTAAAGCCTCTCCAGCTTCACTTCCCAGTACAGGGTCCTCTGGGCAAGCTCCAACTGCCCCCACTTCTTCCTGGTGAAGGCCATGACCGTGTCCTCAAAGGTCATAGGTCCTTAAGACAGGGACATGCCTGTCCAGCCAGGCCTAGATCATCTCCTCTCCATCCTTGCTTTGAACAGATTCAGGGGAGGGGGCAGAACAGGCAGGATTCCATTAGCGCCCAGGGTTAGGAGGGACCCAGGCCCAAACCCAGAGTCACTAGAAGAGTGGACACACATTCCCAAGAAGTTCCATCTCCATCCACAAGACTGCTGTTCATCCCTCATACCTGTTTGGCCCTCCCTGCCTTGGGGACATGCCCTTCCCTCCCCTCCACTTTGGCCAGCCCTTACACCACAGCTCCTGATTCCCTTACACCACAGCTCCTGATTCGCATCACCCTCAGCTCCTGATTCCCACGGCTAACTGCCCCTTGGGTCCCCACCCGGAAGTCTCCAGACAGCTTAGACTTCATTGGCTCAATGCTACCTACCCCTCTGGCCACTTCCCGTATCACTCAGTGGTAACTCCATCCCTCTAGGTGCTCACAGCTGAAACCAAGGGGGCCCCCATAATCTTCATCTGGGGTTCACAATCTGGCCACCCCTCACTCTTCCACTGCCGCCATCCTTGTTCTTCATATCATAGCTCTAGCCCCTCCACTGAACTGGCTTCCCCCCAACCACGTCCTCCCCTCCATGCTCTGTCTGCCCCACACAGTTAAAGGGATCTTGCTAAAGCTTTAGTCACCACTCCAGGTATATACACCAAAGAATTGAAAACAGTTACTCAAAACAAGTACATGTACAAGAATGTTCATACTCAAGGGGCACCTAGGTGGCTCAGACAGTTGGGCACCTGACTCTTGATTTCTGCTCAGGTCATGATCTTGAGATCGGGTAATCAAGCCCCACATGAGGCTCCCTGCTCAGTGGGGAATCTGCTTCTCTCTCTCTCCTTCTACCCCTCCCTTGCCAGGAGGGGCCAGGTCTCCTTGTGAGGACAGTGGGCTGGACACACACTGTGCCCTAGATCAGTGGACCCAAACACTCCTCGGGGCATCAGCTTTGTTTTTGACTTTTATTTTTTTAGAGAAAGACAGTGCGTGCCCATGTGGGGTTGGGGGAGGAGCAGAAGGAGAGGGAAAGAGAGTCTTTTTTTTTTTTAAGACTTTATTCATTTATTTAACGGAGAGAGACACAGAGAGAGAGGGAACACAAGCAGGGGGAGTGGGAGAGGGAGAAGCAGGCTTCCCGCCGAGCAGGGAGCCCGATGCGGGACTCGATCCCAGGACCCGGGGATCATGACCTGAACCGAAGGCACACACCCAATGACTGAGCCACCCAGGCGCCCCAGGGAAAGAGAGTCTTAAGCAGACTCTGTGCTGAGCAGAGCCCTATTAATTTTAAAGCCCGTACATTTTATTTATTTATTTTAAGATTTTTTATTTATTTATTTGACAGAGAGAGACTCAGTGAGAGAGGGAACACAAGTAGGGAGAGTGGGAGAGGGAGAAGCAGGCTTCCTGCCAAGCAGGGAGCCCGATGCGGGGCTTTATCCCAGGACCCTGGGACCATGACCTGAGCTGCTTAACGACTGAGCCACCCAGGCACCCCACCATACATTAATTTTAAAGCAAGCTTCACATCATACAATAAACAAACATTGTTTCAGGTCACCTTAAAATAGATAACTTCTAAATTAACAGATGTTCATCCACATAATCCTGTTTACCACCTGGAACCACACCTAGGAAGTCCCACCAACCCATGCCCATCACCAACTCCAATTCCCCTCAAGGGGGCACCATCTGTTGGGGAATCAAGGGCTTTTTCTGGGGTCTGCACAGGCCACAGCCTCCTCCCACAATGGCAGATGCCTATGGGTAGACCCCTCTCCTAATGGGCCATGGGTGCTCAAGGAGGCAGTTCATTTTCACAGGAGCCTTGTGTTTTCCATGGTCTCGGTGATACCTAACACCGTCTGAACAAGTGTCTGGCCATGTGTATGTGCTCCATCCCGCTTCCCACTCTGTGAAGGCCCCACCCACCCTGTCCTGCCCCTGCAGTAGTTTGCCGGGTCTGCCTATCCTCTTCCCCAGCACTAAACACACCCTGGAGATCTCCCCTCCTACCACATCTGCTATCCCTTCAAATCCGCCCTCTCAAGCTATGATCAGAACTCCCCCCACCCTTCGCAGAAGGTCTCCCCACCCCATTCC